TAATTAACAATTAGAATTTATAAGATATATTGACTTTGCAATTATTACTTGTAAGAACTTGTCTTTGGAGTATTATCACATTCAAAGCATTTTGGCTTAATTTGTAAAATGATTCTGAAAAAAAAGAATAAATATAGGATAAAAAGATTTTATGATTGACAGAATCTAAAAATGGAAGTGAGTAGGATATAGGATGAACAGAGAAAGGAACTTTTTTTTTTTTAGAAAAGCATCTTTGGCTTTTTTATATAAAGTTAAAATATAAATTAATTGAAAGATTGAAAATATTATGGTAATTATCGAATTTTAAAGAAATTTTATTTAAAACAGGAAGAAATTGCAGATAATTTAGTATTATTTAAATTTATTCATTTAATTATTGTATTGATTTGAACAATAAATATTTTATGGATTATTGTTATATTGTATAGATGGTTTAGGTATTTCTGAAAAAAAATAGAGTTGATTTTTGGGTTTGGGGTTGGAATATAAAAGATAATGATAGAAAATAATTTGATAATGATAATCAATAAAAAAAGTAATCTATTTAATTTATACTGAAATATCAAATTTAATATTAAATAATCACCTATGAATATCAATGAATAGTTATTATAAATATTGACAGACGTATGCATTTAGAATTTTATGTAGATTTGCAGTGTACTTAGATCTGCTGTCACAAAAGAGTTGAGTACATAAGAAATACTTAATGCACTAAAACTTCACATCTTTACACTGCTAGAATTAGTATCTTAAAGCAAAAATCTTGAATATGATGAATTAGAGAAGGCTGTTTAAAAAGCAGAAGCAGAGATACGTTTTCATATTAGGGTATATAGATTAACATAATCATAGTTAGAGTAGTAGATGAGACTCTATGCAGATAATCTTTAAGAGAAGATTGAATAATTAGAATTTGAAAAGTAAAAATAGAAGTACAATAACATAATTTAAATATATATTTTAGCGAAAAAAAATCATAGAATTAATTTTAATAACGTGAAGGAAGTCCAAATGTAATAAAGAAATCTTATATCAGGAAAAGGTCTTCCACTAAAAAACAATATGTCTCATCAAAATAATAATAATACTATCAACAATCCTCCTTCAAATAGAAAAGTGAGAGAAACTAATCTCAATAATCTCAAGAAAAATTAATTGATAAACGCTAGTCATTATTAAAATCTTAAAATAGTTATTCATACATAAAAATGTACAATATATAGAAATTGATTATAAATAAAAATTAAAATAATAATACAAAATAGGGCATATAAATCAATTAACAAAAAGGTAAGATTAAAGGATTATATATTATAGCAAAACTATTAATGGAGTTTTTAATAATATTTTAGATGAATCTCCTAATAAAAAGAAATGGTAATTATAGTTATTTATTAATTCATTCATCAGTCCATCTTAATCTTCTTCCTTAATCCCAAATTCCAAATTTAATTAATCCATCAGATAATATGTATTTTCCTTTCCCATGTAATTTACCATAATGCCATTAACCTACATACTATCTACCATCTGGCCATTAATATATTCCTTTTCCATGCATTTTATTATTAAACCATTCCCCTTTGTATATTCTGCCATCAAACCAATTACATTCTCCCTATTAATAAATTAATTATTATTATTATTACATATCCATTCATTTTATGATCAAACCAGTCTCCTTCATAATAACTACCATCAGGCCATATATATTTTCCTTTACCTTATTTCTTACCTTCAAAATAATCTCCTTTGTAAATAGATAAATCAGGCCCTATCTTATTAATATAATTTTACATTTCTCTTCTCCTTTCCCATGTTATTAATCATTTTTCCAATATCCTTAATACACAGTACCATTACTTTATTTATAAATTCCATAACCATTTCCTCTGTTATCTGCCCATTCTCCAACATACGAATCACCATCTATATGATAGAAACTACCATATCCACATGCTTTATTATCAATCCATTCTCCATCATACCTAGCTCTATCAATCCAAATTTAGACGCCTTTTCCATCTCTCTTGTTTCCTAACCATTCTCCCTCATACGTAGCACCGCTCTTAAAAACAAATAAGGGTCGTTTCTCTCTTTATTAGCCAATACTCACATTATTCGCTTATAATTTAACAAATACTAATATTACTTCCAAATTCTAATTAATTAAAGTATTTCTTTTTATCTTTGTTAACTACTTTTGCTAAATCAATTTATTACTATTCTTATTTATCATTTCCCTTATCAAATTGATAAAATTTCTTCTTCATTTCCTTATAACTTTATCTAACTTTATGACCTTTCCAAATTTTTTGTATCACTATTGCCTTGTCATTAAAATTAACCTTCATTCTTTCTATCTCTTGATTAACAGAAAATTCAGAAAACTTTTTATTATTTTATTCTTTTGTAGCACAATTTATCTATTTTACATCATTCTTTCTATAAATTCAATTTTATTACACCATCTATTAAACTGTGACATGATTATTGTGATTAAGATTATGCTCTTTAACTATCTGACTTTTTAGTTACCTTTACTTCAATATTTGATTCCGTTTTATCTTTTTAACATTAAATACAATTTGAACAATTTCCTCCCATTTTTCTACTTATATTTATAACATTATATAATTTTATAAATATCAAATTGTTACACTGCTAATTTTTAAATCACTATTAATATTCCCATTTCTATTATTTTAATTCAATTTTAAATTTAATCTCATACCATAGCTTGTAAGCTAATAATCTTTTTTTTTAATTTTTTGGATTTACATTTCAAAACAATTATTTTTAATTTTTTAAATATTCTTTTTAACTAAGTTTTAGAAACTGATTGATTCTATAACATTTGTTTTTATTAATATTAATTCACTAAAGTAATTTTATTAGTAGTTTACATACTAACAGAAAATTATTTAAAAATTCCCTAGATAACAATGGCTATTAAAATTATGAATAATCTGTCAACTAAGATATAAGTATAAATTTACATTCTTGAAGAGTTATTAGGATCATCAAAAGATTTTATAATTTCAATTAAAAGATTTGCCTTTTTAGAAAATATGCCTATTTTAATAGATATTTAGCTATGTAAAATTTTTTTTTCTGAGATTGGGGAATTTTGTTAATTTAATAACATCTATTCTCATTATGAGTTCTATTTAAATTTATAAGCTATTTATTCAATTTCAAAATATAATAGTTTATGGGAAATGAAAGATTTTCTATAAAAAATATAAAAGAAAATGATATTAATAAAATTTATAAATATTTGCATAAATTATAAAATAAAATGGTATATGATAAATTTAATAAAAATTTTCTATTAAAATGAAAGAGAAAACAATATGAATTTAATTTGTAACTAGTTCTATAGAAATANTCTATCAATCCAAATTTAGACGCCTTTTCCATCTCTCTTGTTTCCTAACCATTCTCCCTCATACGTAGCACCGCTCTTAAAAACAAATAAGGGTCGTTTCTCTCTTTATTAGCCAATACTCACATTATTCGCTTATAATTTAACAAATACTAATATTACTTCCAAATTCTAATTAATTAAAGTATTTCTTTTTATCTTTGTTAACTACTTTTGCTAAATCAATTTATTACTATTCTTATTTATCATTTCCCTTATCAAATTGATAAAATTTCTTCTTCATTTCCTTATAACTTTATCTAACTTTATGACCTTTCCAAATTTTTTGTATCACTATTGCCTTGTCATTAAAATTAACCTTCATTCTTTCTATCTCTTGATTAACAGAAAATTCAGAAAACTTTTTATTATTTTATTCTTTTGTAGCACAATTTATCTATTTTACATCATTCTTTCTATAAATTCAATTTTATTACACCATCTATTAAACTGTGACATGATTATTGTGATTAAGATTATGCTCTTTAACTATCTGACTTTTTAGTTACCTTTACTTCAATATTTGATTCCGTTTTATCTTTTTAACATTAAATACAATTTGAACAATTTCCTCCCATTTTTCTACTTATATTTATAACATTATATAATTTTATAAATATCAAATTGTTACACTGCTAATTTTTAAATCACTATTAATATTCCCATTTCTATTATTTTAATTCAATTTTAAATTTAATCTCATACCATAGCTTGTAAGCTAATAATCTTTTTTTTTAATTTTTTGGATTTACATTTCAAAACAATTATTTTTAATTTTTTAAATATTCTTTTTAACTAAGTTTTAGAAACTGATTGATTCTATAACATTTGTTTTTATTAATATTAATTCACTAAAGTAATTTTATTAGTAGTTTACATACTAACAGAAAATTATTTAAAAATTCCCTAGATAACAATGGCTATTAAAATTATGAATAATCTGTCAACTAAGATATAAGTATAAATTTACATTCTTGAAGAGTTATTAGGATCATCAAAAGATTTTATAATTTCAATTAAAAGATTTGCCTTTTTAGAAAATATGCCTATTTTAATAGATATTTAGCTATGTAAAATTTTTTTTTCTGAGATTGGGGAATTTTGTTAATTTAATAACATCTATTCTCATTATGAGTTCTATTTAAATTTATAAGCTATTTATTCAATTTCAAAATATAATAGTTTATGGGAAATGAAAGATTTTCTATAAAAAATATAAAAGAAAATGATATTAATAAAATTTATAAATATTTGCATAAATTATAAAATAAAATGGTATATGATAAATTTAATAAAAATTTTCTATTAAAATGAAAGAGAAAACAATATGAATTTAATTTGTAACTAGTTCTATAGAAATATCATAAATTTTATAAAAAATTCTTCATTAAAACATGATAAATTAAATTTATAATTATTTCTTTAAAAATTAATTTTTACTAGCATATGATAAATATAACAACAATTTTATAAAATAAAATTATTAATTTTTCACTATAATTGTATCTATTGCATCTTCTTAAAAGGTGCTCAAAAAAGCATTTGAGTCAAGATCTATTAGGGTGACCTTTTTCTCGCCCTTATATTCATCCTAAAATTTCTTTTGGGATTTCCTGTAAGCTTAGGGAAATATGAGAAGTCTATCTTGATTTTTCTACCCCGATACACAGAATTACAATCTTTTAACTTCATTTTTATTTTTAAGATCCGTTCATTCTACAGGGTAAGTATTTCTAAGATCTATTCTCTTGTCTTATCTCTTCATAAGTCCAATCAATCACTTCATGTTTATTTTTTCTTATTGCATTATTTTGATCCGAAACTGTTAGGTCCTTATCGATTACAACATATTTATAATTGATGTCGAGAACTTTGGTTTCACATTTTGTTATAAAAATATTAAACTAAAACAAAATAGACTTTCTAATATGTACATTAACAATTATAGTTAAGGTTTATTTATTTATTTGATTGCATAAGATTTCATAAAAATTTAATAAACTTTTAAATGTATAAAATTTTTAATTTAAAATTCAAAATTCAATATTTAAATTTGAGTGGTAAAAGGTTTTTACTTAAATTTAATCTTAATAAAAAAATCAGTCATAATAAATAAAGTTCCAAAAATAAGATTGTTCCATTGCGCCAGATGTGGGTAGGTATGGAATACATTCATAAGACCTCATATTCAACATACATACCGTTTCTTCACACTCATGGGGAAATATGATAGATGGTTTTATATGAGTAGTAGTACATTTTGGGTTTAGAAATGGATTTCGTATATTAATTAGTAAAAATTAACCTGTAAAAAGAGGTGCGGAATTTTTATGAAATAAAAAGGAACATTAATACATAATTATTCAGGATTGAATAAGAAAAATATTAAATAATCAAAAGTTAGATAGTATCCTGATTGGTGTTATTTTGATTTAGGATAAAAAATATCAATTGGACATCAGGATAATGAAAACAATAGTGTATCCAACAACATAAATAAATAGAAGATTCAAAAAAAAATATTTACTTAAATTAACTTTTACGAAATTAAAAGGAAAGAGTGTTGTAACCCCTCCATCTCAATCCATCTGAAAAAAGCACATTCCTGGAGGTCCAGTGAATGAATACCTAGCAAAAGGAGTAAGGAGGAACAGAATATAACCTGGTATCTGTTTCGGACCCTACCCATCAGCAGCCTAGTATTATTACTAAGGAAGAAAGTATATGACAGAGAACTCTTTCAACAACATAGGGGTGGACAAGAAGCTTAGGCAGAAATGGTCAAAAATTAAAAACGAAACTCGAACTACATAGAATAAAATATGAGGCAAATTTAAGCTTTTGACTTTCCATTTTAATTGATTAAAAAATTAGAATAAAGCTGCCTTCTTATTTTAATATTAATTAAAATTGACATGATTACTTTCAATCAATAAATATTAAAGTTCTGTATAAATTCCAACAGAAATTCATTTTAAAGAATTCAAAGTTAAAAGTAGAAAATATTTTATTCATTATAAATCATTATTTATTTATAATTTTTTAAATCAATTTTTATATAATAAATCATATGTGTATAATAAGTTCTGTTTTCAATGGAAACTCTGTGAAATAAAACAAAAACTAGTAACAATAATGTGACTCAAAACTTTTATTATTTCTTACTAAATTTTTGGAGAGGAAAAATTGATTCTTTCTTATTCCATTAAATTTGAAAACAATCCTCAAATCTTCTCGTTTTCAAATAAGATACTTTTCTATGAACTTAATGATTGAATTTTTATTATATAATATCAAATCAACAATCTATACAAGAATTGTCATAATTTACAATAGAATACAAAGAAATATATTAAGAAGATTTAATATTTTAATCTTATTCTATCTTTAAATAGACATAATTCCTTACAAAAACTTAATTTTTTAATCTTTATCTATATGATTAAATAGATTAAGGAATCCCTTAACGATACAAAAGACAAGTATCCTTCTAAAAAAAACACAAAATTTAGATAATTTTTAATGAAATTCCAAAAAAATATCAAAAATATTAAATTTTTTTATTTTCGTTTATAAAACAACGAAATGTGCATTTTATTATTATTTTTCTAAAACTGATATTTTTGTAATTTATTTAGATATTAAATTATAAGTTAAGAGATAAGATATTATTCTTGTCTTGAACTCTAATTAAAATATTCAATACTAATAACTATTATACTTCTCTATGATGGATTAATCTGTCTGGTCTATTTAATAATTTTAGAAGTTTCAAAAATGAGAACCCAATATTAAAGTCATTTTTAAATTTATTGAAGATTTAAATAAATGGAAAATTTATTCATATTTATATCAAGAATAGAAAATCTATTTTTTGAACTATTTCCAAATTTTATATTGATTTAGAATTCTTATGATTCCTAATTGTCAATAATTTAATTAAAATTATTATTTAATTTCTATCCTTTTTTATTTTCTTTTTAATAATGAATCAAATATAATTGGTCATTTGAATACCTTCAATTTGGTGTGCATAATAGATTATTCGAACTCATTTAATATCAAAATTAAAAGTCTTCTATAATTGATAGATTCTTCTGTGAAAATAATTAACAGTTGCTTTACCTTAGTTATGAGTATCTAAATACTAGAGCTCATAGTTCTAAAGGTCAGAGATTCGCCTGTTGAATCATCAAAGGATGTTAAATAAAACCCATTCAAACTTTAAAGCTTCTTTACTTTACGTATCTATGTAATACTTAGTTATAGATCAAAATTTTAAAAGAATGCCATTACTTATAAAAGAAAAACCCTTAAAATATATATTTTAGTAGTGGCTCAAACATGTGGACAGGGTGTGTTAAAACTCAACCCATAATTAAAACCCATTAATGGATTACAGTGGATAAGTTATAGCAGTCTAGGTCTAAAGCGAAGTCAATTTTGCAAAAATTAAATTTCAATGATTATTCGAAAAATTACGAAAGAAGGGTAAACGAATTCACAAAACTTTTTTGTGGAGATTAATATTACAACCAAGGGCTCATGGTGTCTCTCATGACTTTACGAAAGCTTTCAAGCTAAGACAAATTCAAAAAAATAAATTATTATTAATTTTAATCCAGAATTTTATTATAAAATTATATTTACAAGATCAAGCTAATCTCATATCTCAAATTATTATTATAAATTTAAAATGAAACAGTGTAAGATCAGATTAAGGTCTGGGATAACTTATTTAAATCAACCATTTAGCAAAAATGGATTTTATTTTCATGCTAATTAACATAGAAAAGTAGTTAATTAAACAAATGTGTTATTGAATTTCTCCATTTTCAAAAGGAAAAAGAAACTTTGGAATAAAAATATTATCATTTAATTAGAGCATATAAAAATTATTATTAACAATTTATTTTGGCTGATCAAGTTATATCAGCTCAAGTCGGTATCAAATTTATCCTTCTTTACGAAATAACTGGATAATGATTCCTGACTATAAAGTTAATTGACCTATATAATTAACTTTTTAAATATGTACTAAATTTTTTTATTCTTTTTATAATAACATATTTATGATAAGTTAGAAAAATTGATAAAATTTATATAGAGAATGATTTCATTTTATTATTTTAAAAATCATGTAGCTTCTCTTTATAAATAAAAATAATTTTTTTATAAATAAATTTGATATCAACCCTTAATAATTATTGAATATAAAATGTTGATATTTTTTATTTATATTTCATTTCTAAACCTCTGCTTTTTGACTTATTAATTCCTTTATTTGAATAAATCTTGTTCTAATCTCAAGTCCAAATTATTTAAGCAAAAAAATAATCTACACTAATATAGATAATAGTATGAAGAACAAAATTACCCATCCAATTATATACTTTTAATCAAACGATAATATATTGCTTACATCATCAACAGCCAGTAGAGTAGTAATCAAAAGGATTATGAATATACATAAATCAGGAAGGGCTTATAAAAAAAGTTAAGATTTATTTTAAAATGGATTCTAGAACAAAATTAAAACTAAATTGAAGAAGCATGGTACACAACAAAATGATGTTTAGAGCAAAGGATTTTCATAAAAATACACAGTAAAAAATATAAACATAGTTTTTCGCATTAAATTGACAAAACAATAATTTCTGCCTAAAATAGTTTTAGTGTTCAAACCTTCGTATAAAGATGAATATTAATTCTAAAATATTAGAGACTCATATAAAATCGAATGTTGAGAGCAAACAAATGAATATAGTTTGAACATCAAGATTATGAGAATGATTCCAACAATGGCTAATGCAATATTCCATTTGATAAGAGCTAGATCTGATTCACGTTTATATTTTAATTAAAGAAAACAAGCTAAGCAAATATCAAAAAATACTAATCCAAAAAGGTAAAGTAATTAAGCTCTAAAGTTTATTTTAAATTTGACAGCTATTTGATATATTATATTTATTAGAAAAGGCAACTCTTATTTCTTAGTTTTTTTTGTTTTTTTGGGACATTCGGCTTAATTTTTATCTTAAATTTAATTGATTTAAAAAAACTCAATTTTGTGTGTGATATAAAATTTAGGCTTAAATTTTTTTTAAATATTTGATACAACACAAACTGAAAAGCAGTAAGCTATAAATGCAAGTGAAGTTAGAACACACATTAACTAGATGTTGTTTAAAAATAAAGGATTTACTTCTTTTTCAGTAAATTTTGGAGGTGCTTCAAAATAATAAGAATCATCAGGTGTATTTAAGTTGTAAATTTGAGGAATATTAAATATATCACCCCATTCAATTTTTTTGAAAAATAACTAAACATTTAAAGGGTAATCTACATTGAGAAAATAAAAATTATTAATCCAAGTCAAAATATCTAAAATTGACCAAAAAATATTAAAGCCTCCAAGAATAATGGTTATAGGTCCAATAAATTGTAAAGCAAAAGTAAAAGAAGAAGAGGTTGAAACAACATTTTAAGCTTATGCATATTAATCATCATTATAATAAACTAATTTTCTTGGAGTTATAATAATTTCCCTTGTATCTTCAAGAATTCTAGTTTCATTATCTTTTAATGGAACTATTAAATGAATAAGATTTTATTCACTTATAGTTTTAAAGAAGTTAAATTTTATTTAACATAAACCTTATCCCTTTTTTGTATAATTTTCCTAATTATAAATTTTATATGAGAATTCATCTGGTTGAAAATATTCTATCCAAATTTGTAATTTATTACAAATTCCATCAAGTTCAAAATCATCATACATCAAATCAAGATCATTTTTAGTAGTTGAATTAGAATAAGTTAAATCAATTTATTTCTAAGGTATATAATAGCATAAACCTTCATTACAAATAAATTTTTTTTCTATTTCACATTTAGAATTACATCCATCAAAATCAATAAGATTTCCATCATCACATTATTCTGTTCCAGCAATTATATTGTCTCCACATTTAGTAATACATGATTTTAACGATTTATCGAAATAAAAACCAGAAATATTATGGCATTGCTTACAATCATTTGTAGAGCATTTTATACAATTATTTGGAGTATTTATACATTCCTCACATTTTTCTGAACAAGAGTTGCAAGTATTATCTTTAAGAAAATATCCAATGTTGCATCTTAAACATTTTACTGTATCGTTTTCATATTTGCAATCATTACAATTGTCTTAACATTTATAGCAAAAACTTAATAAATTTTCATCCTCTTCACATTTATATAAAGGATCAATTTTGCAAAAACTGCAACCGTCTCTTGAAATATCATTTTAATCATCACATAATTCATTTCCAATTTTAATACCATCTCCACATTTAGTTATACATTTTTCTATTTGTAAATAATAACCATTTTAACACTCATAACATTTTCCTTTTTAACAATTAGTACACTTCTCATCACATTAGTATTTACATTCATAACATCCATCAAAAGGTATATAGTTCTTATCATCACATTATTCGTAACCTTTAATAATTCCATCTCCACAAAAAGGTATACAATCATTTGTTAAGCTGTCATAATATAAACCTATCAAACCTTCACATAATTTTATCTATTCACAAATATTTTTAGATTATACTAAAATATATGAAGATTCACATAATTTACACTTTCCTAATAAACAATCTAAACATTCTCTTTAACATTAGTATTTGCAATTGAAGCAACTACCTAATTCTAACTAATTATTATCTTCACACTCTTCATCATGAACCACTATTCCATCTCCACAATAAGATTCACAAATATTAGAAAATTAATTGAAATAATAACCATCTTCACATTTATAACAATTATTTTCAAAATATAATTCACAAAAGCTTGGAGCTACATACTTACAAATAAAGCAATTCTAATCAAATATTTCACATTATTCATCATGTGCAAGTATTCCATCTCCACAAAAAGAATTACACTAAAAACTTTCATCTAAATAATAGCCAATTTTACAAAGAATGCAGCTGTTTTCATTACATTTATCACAGTATTTAAAACACTGGCTGCAATAAAAATCTGGTTATAATTTAAGTTAATATTCACAAAAATCCATAGGAGTATTTTTCGATTTGCACTACTATTCAATTTTATCATAATATGCATTATCTTAACATTTTATACAACTATTTGTTATTTAAATTTCGCAGTTTTCAATAAACAATTATGTATTTTGAAGAGATTTAGAGCAGTAAAATTAATTCAAAGATAATTCATATCCATCATCGCATTTTTAGCAAATTCCATAGAAACAAAAGTGACAGTTTACATCACAAGAAAACCTACAAGCTTAACACTTTTAGAAAGATTACATTAAATCTACAACTTCACATTATTCATCATTTGATTTTAAATAATCTCCACAAATTGGATAACATTGAGATTATATCAATTAATAACCATCTTAACATTCATAGCAAATTCCTTTAATACAATAAAGACATGAATCTGTACAAGCAAATTAACAGAAATGACACCCATCTCCATAAATAAGATTACCATCATCACATTATTCATCATCTGTAACAATTTTATCACCACATAATGAATAACATAAGTAATCGATTTACTTATAACCTTTTTTACATTCATTACAACCAAGCCCTTTAATATTGCAAGTTTAGCAGGAAGTTTAACATTTAGCTTAACAATTTTAGCAACCTTTATATGGTAAACTTTAGGTTATTTCACATATTTCATCAATTACTAGCTATGAATCTCCACAAATAGGTTTGCATATTTAATCACTTGAAAGATAGTATCCTAAAGCACATTCTCTACATCGTTAATTTACACAATTCAAGCATATTGTAGATGGTTAACATTGAAATTAACATGTACTACTACAACCATCATTATTAATTGTATTTCCGTCATCGCATTATTCTGAATTTATCCCAGAAGGATCAATAACAATTAAACCATCTCCACAAATATTTTTACAATAATATAATTAAGGAAAAAACCCTGGTAATTCACAACTGAGACAAGTTTATGAGTTATAATTACAAGAGGAACATCCAATTCTACAATAATATTTACAATCTTTGCATCCATCAGTATCAATTAGATTAGCATCATCGCATTATTCATTTCCAATTACAATTAAATCTCCACATTTTTCTTTGCATAACCATGGAGTTATTGTTGGATCAATATACCATCCTTTAGTTGCACACTCAAAACACTCTCCTTTAATACATTTTGTACATTAAGGTTAACATTAATATTTACAATTATAGCATCCATCATATTAAATTATATTTCCATCTTCACATTCTTCAATTCCAGTAACAATTCCATCTCCACATATATCTAAACAAGGTAAAGTAGTTGTAGAATCACAAGTTTGACAATGAATTGGACATTGAAATTAGCAATTATAGCATAAATCATTTAAGTTTTAATTATCGTCTTCACATTATTCATATCCTTTTATTTATAAATCTCCACAAATAGGTTAACATTCTCCAAATTCTAATTGAAATCCAGAATCACAAGAATTACAAATAATGGTATGCCATATTGATTAATTATTATTACATTGTTTATAACATTAATTTAAAGTTGTATCTTCACTAGTTGGACAATCTAAATTTATTATTATAAATTATACTTGTACAAATATTGCTTAAATCATAATAACCAGGTTTACATTCACATTTTAATTCTTTTAATATTCTATTTAACATAGAATTACATGTTAAACAACCATCAATAGTTTTTTTAAAACAAGTTTAACATGATTAATCGCATAAAGAACATGTTCTTAAAGCATCTTCATAATATGAATTAGTTGGACAACTACATTTTGATTCCATATTTTCAATATTAATAATATTTGAACATTTTGAACATTCATTATTTGTGGGTCCAAAACAAGTTTCGCAAAATTTATGACATTATTAACATTAAGGATTTGATACTATTGGATAATATCCATCTATACAATTACATTATCCATTTATAAGTTTTCTATTATTAGTAAGTAAACATTCTGTACAGTAAGTAGAACTTAAACATTGATTACATTCATCTGGACAATCATAACATTGATTTGTATCTTCATACTGATTAATCTTACATATACATCCTAATTTAGTTAAAGTATAAGTTGATAAACATGTTTTACAATCTATTTTAGATATACATGTTAAACAAGATATAGGACATTAAAAACATTAAAAAGAATCTCTATCAAAATATTAAGTACTTAAGCATTCTTCTTAAGAAAACCTTACTATATTTGAATCATAAGTACTATTCCAAGATGTACATGTATTCTAATCTGAACATTCTAAACAATAAGGTTTGCAATAATGAACTGCAATATAATAATTGAAAAATCCACAATAAGCATAAATCGGCTCATTATTTGTTCCAAAACATTCCCAACTGATTGTTAAACTATTGGTATTATGACTTATTTTTTCATAAATTTTGTCGTATTTAGATTCATCAGGTTAAATCAAATAATAATTTGATGATGATTTAGAGATTGGTTGATTATTTTCAATTTAATATATAAATTTTCCATCAATTGGAAATTGTGGCCCATAAATTATATAAAATGCAATAGTAATGCTATGATGTGGATCAATTATATTATGAATTCTTTAAAATTTAGCTTAAGCCCAGACAAAAGGCCCTCCAAAAACTCTAAATACTTACCAATATGAATAATATATATCTGATCCTTTTAAAAAGTTTGAGCCACTTTGAGAGACTAAAGTATATTATTAATATTAATGAGGATCAATTGCTTTATTTGTATATTCTTAAATCAAATATTAAGAATCTAAATATGTAAATATATGAATACAAGGTGTTTCATCATCGTAATCTTAACAATATGTAGAATTTAATTTTTTCTGATATGGATTTTCACAACCCTAAATGCAACTACCATCCCTATATAAATAGTATCCATTTAAACAAGTCTTACATTTAAATGATACTTCACATAATTAGCAAAATTAGGAACAATATCCTGAAGTAAGCTAAACTGAAACCATTCCCCATCCTGCAGTGTTATCACTAATTTAAATAAATTAATAATTACGTATAATTTCCAATTGCAGAAAATAGAATTGATGATTTCGGAATATCTAAATATAAAATTAATTCATATTTCTAAATTAAAGAATAAGGTAATTCTGAATTTGATGTCTATTAGGTTGAATATATTTTTAATTTATGTGTTTGAATTCCAGAGTCATTTCTATAAATGGATCCAAAATATGTATTATTAATTTTAAATTATATTCCACAATTTAATGGAATTTCATTAAAAAGTAGAATTGAAATTTTTAATCCAATTAAATAAGTTGAATAAAATTAAGTAGATTATACATCGAAAAATCTATAGATTCCTGCGTTAAACTTAAATATTCCATAGAAAGTAAATGTCGTCCCTTATACTTTTGGAGAAATATCGATATTTAATGAGTCATATATGATTGACCACTTCAAATTTTCAGGATTTTCAGGATTTTCAGGATTCAATGTATAAAATTTGACTTAAGCTATTGTGAAAACTAAAATATATAATTTGAATAATATTTACTTGGATAACTTTAACAAAATCCATTAGAATTTATTGGAGAGTCTATGTCACAAACATTTTTGCATCCTTATTATTTCATAAAATATTAATTTTATGAACAAGGAGGACAAATATTATTAGAAACAGATCCAAAATAACAATTTATACATTAATTGAATTCTGGACCTGTACATGAACTGCATAATCGATAACATTTAAATCTTGAAACAAATATATTTCTGATTGAAACTTATGCATCTCCTTAACCTGTAGATTAGAATTTGATTTGACCGTATATTGAATTTGTTAGCGTAAAATTTATAGATTTAACATCAAAAATTGAATTATTGCAAAATCCCTATGTAATTGCATAATTTGTAGGGAATAGATATGAATATGTGTATGTAAAGGTACCTATAGTAAAAATTACATTATCATTTGACCATGTACCTTAAAAAAATAAATCAAAATTTATAAAGCTTCCACTCTCAAATTATTAAACAATATAATGTTATGCTGAAGGATGGTTGGAATTTAAAGTGATATAACTTGTTGCAGGTTGTAAGCATGTGATAAAATAAGCTTAAGTTGTTGAAGATGGTTAAGTAAAATATCCTGAATAATAGTATCCTTAATCGACTTTAAATTTCTAATTAGAACTTAAATACTCATTTTTAATTTCCCATTAAGATTTGCAAATATTAATAAAGCCGAGAAGGGTAAAAAATATTGACAAAGCCATTTATTAAAGTAATAGACTTAAATAAATTTTAATTATTAATAATCAATAATATTAAATATTATCTCTAAAGCATTGAATTTTCTTGATTTTTAGAGTTTCTTTTCCAATTTTGTAATGAGTTTAGTTTTTTTTACATATAAGCAATTAATCCATAAGGACTTTTTAAATTTTGTGAATAACAATATTTGAAATTGCAATTTTTTAAGATTATTATTTAAATAAAATATTCATAATAATGATTTTACTAATATTAAGTATTTATATAATTAGAAAAACTTCAATCAATTTTACCTTATGATTTTCTCAGAGGGGCTATTTAGTTTAAATTTATTTTAATCTTTTCTTTTAAGATTAAGCCTAATCCTTATCATCTAATACCATAAATATTCTATTTGATTCAAGATCTGATTTTAAAATTTACTTAGTGAGGAGTTTGACTATTCTAATATCAAAATATTAAATTCTATCATGTAAGAAATTTCCAAAAAAAAAATTAATATTTACTTAAGTTAGTTTTTCTTCCTTTAATTTTTCCTTTGAATTATACTTATTGGTTTTTCCATTATTCAATATATTTTTGGAATTAATTACTGTCATGGAATTCCAAATGAAACTAAAATTTTACTTGTTTACAATTAACTTTGTTGTACATTCATACTCTTTTTCAAAGTGTAGAATTTCATTAATTTAACTTTTATCTCTCTTGTTTTCAAAAAGTATTCAAAGTTTTTTTTAACTTTGATTTATGAATTTATATCCAAACCTCTTCTTTTCAGAAATTGTATTCTCATAATCATTATATCTCTTAATTAATTTCGCTCATTTAAGCCAAAATAGATCTAATAAAAATTTAGTTGAAAGGCTATATTCTTGAAATTATTTGAATCAAGATCAATATAAAAAATTTAATATAAAAATATTTCTAGAATATAAAAAAAGGACCTACTTGGATTCGAACCAAGGTCTTGAGGGTTAAAGCCTCAGGTACTAACCACTATACGATAGATCCTATAGTTATACATTTACCTACCAGAAGCTTTTTCAATACATATATTAATATAAAATAAATATGATTGTAAAAATAAAATTGACATTCAAAACTTACATAATTATATTTATCTAAAATTCTCTTAAAATTTTTATTAATTTTATTTAATTAGAATCTATAATAAATATACTTTTAATCTCGTTTTATTCTCAAATTATCAAAAGTTTTTAAATGACCAAAACAAGATAATTATCCATAATTTTCTGCTCTGATAAATTACCTACTTTCTCATTTTAATTATATTGATTTCCATCAAACTTTGAATAGATTTTAGTAGTCAGTATTTTAGGGTTACCAATTTTTATGATGAATCTATTGAACTTAAAAAGATTAAAGACTTTAGAAGTTAGAATTGAGTATATCTTTTTTTAATATTAAAATTGTTTCTGACTATAAATTCTTATTCATCGTCAATTTATAAGTAACGATACCTTAATTATTATCTAGGTCTATTTATTGGATCATCTTATAATATTTATTTTTAAGAAGCATAATCCATTATTAGAACACTGTAAATACAATAAATGTTTGTATTTTTTTTAATTTCTGGTGATATTCAACCAAAAGTTCCACAATATTTATAAAAATATGTATTCTAATCATTTGATTATTTGGTAAACAGAGGGAATCAGAATTGTTTGATGTCCTTAACTAATTTACTTTTTTATATCCTTAATAATCAAATTAATAACATTCTATTTATTATATCAAATGGGAAATAATCTTATTCTTCATTAATTCTAATCACATAAAGAAATGGTTTTGGTTAAGTAAGAGGCTCTAAACTGAATTGTTAGAGTGAGTTAGTTAGGTGCCACTGTATTTTTTGGCCACATCTGAAAGACCATCTAACTCTGTGGTTGTTATATTAGTTATTATCCCTCCAATATTATACACTTACAATCTGCGGTGCACACTGAGAAGCTAGTCGGTGCTAATCTTGTTCTGCCCTTTTGCTAGTTGGTAGCATCTATTCTATTGTTAACTGTTCAAAGTGTTCTAGGAGGAGTTTAGATTAAGAGTCCTTCAATATAATAGTGTGATATTTAATCATTTACAGTTTGATTTAATTTTAGAGGATTAAGGCATAGTGAACCTGCTTCAAAATCTTCTACAACTATGTCATCAATTCAAAAAATTCATCATCGAAATCAACTATTCTTAAATTCATACGTATTGAAAATTTTGAGCCAAATCTTTTTTATATGCGAAATAAAAGATTAAATATTTTTCCACCATTAAGTATTTTGGTTCAAAACTCATTTAATTTCCCAAGTAACCTACAGTGTAAATTAACTGACTTTACAGAAATATATTTATTTTTCGTTTTTAACATCAGCAATAGCAATGGCTTTTCATAAATAACTTGAATTAAAAAATTCACTTTGCAAGCAAGATAGAATTTGAAAATTGTTCCAAATTAAATTGCAAGTTAAAATTTTGTTCACCTTATCATTTCATTATATATATAGTAATTATTATTAAAAAGGTATAATATTTTTCCTTTATTTTTTTTATTTTAAGTTACTTCTTATTTATAATAATTAGAAAATATACTTAAATCAAATAATAACATTATGGATATAAGGAAGCAATAGCAATCAATTAATATTAGAAGTATTTTCTAAAAGGTTGCAACATGATCATTTTTTCGATTTGCGATTTTCTTATGTTTTAAACTCGAAGCTGATAATCACTTTTTTAAAATGGTTTTTTATTATTTATGGGGCACAGAGATTTCCTCATTAATTATATAAAAAATTAATTATTTAGATTTTATAATATTTATTAAGCAAAAAAACTTTAAAAAATAAAACAAAATTGCAACTTAAAATGCCGAAAATTATGGTTGTTAATAATGAATAAAGACCAAAAATGCTTAAATTAAATATCAATTTTAAGAGATTTTTTGTAAGAGGAGGAAACACAATTTGATTACGTAATTTATTTAGCCTAGGTTTTAAATTTTTATTCAATGACTATTAATATTTAATTCAAAATAATGATAATAGTTCTAATACCTTTTGTAGTTGCAACCTGGAGGCTAATTGACTTTAGCTTTACAGATTAGTAAATTACTCAAAATTAATGGAAAATGAATGAATGTTGTTCTACTATTGATTTGAATGATTTAATTGAGAAAAATGTTTGTAGTTCAAATTAGTTAGAATATGTGAGATTGAGAAAATAAATGAGATATTTATAGAAATCTTTCAACTATAAAAGTTATCAAGTTTAAATGATTTTTGATGCATTTTTTGATGGTGCCATAAATGAAAACTCAGAATTAAAAGTAACTTATAATAGCAACAGAAATTTAAATGACTTGTAACTTTATCTAATAGATTATGATCGGAGTGATTTAAACTAGAACAGCAATCTAATTTGTCATAACAGCCCATCATCCAAATTTAAATTAGAAACTATTGTGAGTATGATCAAAGATGTAAAGATGGTTGCGATATGGATCATTAATATAGTGATTCTTTTTGTGATAATGATTACATATAAGTTGGAATTAGAAATATGTTGGTTTATATCAAAGCTTGTCATCCAACTTGTTTAACTTGCAATGGCTATACTGAATCGGATTGTTTAACTTGTTTTGATAGTTAAACTGTATAATTTGGACAATGCAAATGCATTGATTCATAATAATTTTCATAAACTTTTATAGGTTGTAGATAAGAATGTAGTCGAGATAATTCTATAGCTCGTTATGATAAAATATGTGTAGAAGACACTAGAATAAAATCAAAGTTTACCTTATTTTAAGATAATATAATTCCTCAGTAAGAACAAAGATATTTGCCATTAGTATTTAGAAATGATGAATTTCACCCAAAAAACACAGATTTAATATTTGAAAATTGTAATGGAATAAGTTTTATAGGGAAACTCTAATATAGCGAAGGAATTCTTTATCAAATGAGCCTAGAAAATGCAGTTAAATTTATAAGAGTTCGTATAACATTTTATTTGTTTAATTTTCGATAGACAAGTGAAATTTAAATTTTACACAATAATCAATTACAAAGTAGAGTAATAAAAGATTCATCAGGTTTCAAAGTTGAAAATTCATTAAAAATTTTTGAGTTAGCTGAGAATTGTGGAACTAGTTATACTTTGTTAAGAGTAGAGATGACATTTTAAGTCTTTAATGCTAATCCTGTTATTTACTTTTAAGGATAACTTTAATAAGAAAATGAATTTTGGGGATTGAGAAATGTTACTGTTGATACTGGATTTTGTTAAGAAAATTGTTTGATTTGTTCAGGATTTTCTACTTGTTCATAATGTGATTCAGTATATAGATTATATAAAAATTAATGTGTTTAAACTTGCCCGATTCATTCATCAAATTGCTTAGATTATGAAGATATAATTCCGTGTAAAATATATTATATATTTTAGATTCAAGTTACTTAGCCAAAGGATTTTATAATTTAAACATGACTTATGATGAAATAGAAGAATTNTTATAATAGCAACAGAAATTTAAATGACTTGTAACTTTATCTAATAGATTATGATCGGAGTGATTTAAACTAGAACAGCAATCTAATTTGTCATAACAGCCCATCATCCAAATTTAAATTAGAAACTATTGTGAGTATGATCAAAGATGTAAAGATGGTTGCGATATGGATCATTAATATAGTGATTCTTTTTGTGATAATGATTACATATAAGTTGGAATTAGAAATATGTTGGTTTATATCAAAGCTTGTCATCCAACTTGTTTAACTTGCAATGGCTATACTGAATCGGATTGTTTAACTTGTTTTGATAGTTAAACTGTATAATTTGGACAATGCAAATGCATTGATTCATAATAATTTTCATAAACTTTTATAGGTTGTAGATAAGAATGTAGTCGAGATAATTCTATAGCTCGTTATGATAAAATATGTGTAGAAGACACTAGAATAAAATCAAAGTTTACCTTATTTTAAGATAATATAATTCCTCAGTAAGAACAAAGATATTTGCCATTAGTATTTAGAAATGATGAATTTCACCCAAAAAACACAGATTTAATATTTGAAAATTGTAATGGAATAAGTTTTATAGGGAAACTCTAATATAGCGAAGGAATTCTTTATCAAATGAGCCTAGAAAATGCAGTTAAATTTATAAGAGTTCGTATAACATTTTATTTGTTTAATTTTCGATAGACAAGTGAAATTTAAATTTTACACAATAATCAATTACAAAGTAGAGTAATAAAAGATTCATCAGGTTTCAAAGTTGAAAATTCATTAAAAATTTTTGAGTTAGCTGAGAATTGTGGAACTAGTTATACTTTGTTAAGAGTAGAGATGACATTTTAAGTCTTTAATGCTAATCCTGTTATTTACTTTTAAGGATAACTTTAATAAGAAAATGAATTTTGGGGATTGAGAAATGTTACTGTTGATACTGGATTTTGTTAAGAAAATTGTTTGATTTGTTCAGGATTTTCTACTTGTTCATAATGTGATTCAGTATATAGATTATATAAAAATTAATGTGTTTAAACTTGCCCGATTCATTCATCAAATTGCTTAGATTATGAAGATATAATTCCGTGTAAAATATATTATATATTTTAGATTCAAGTTACTTAGCCAAAGGATTTTATAATTTAAACATGACTTATGATGAAATAGAAGAATTCTATGATTCAACCACTGATCCATCTCATAGTTTATCAACCAGATAAAAATTTTCATTTTTAAATAGTAAAATAGTATTAGGGGGCTTATTGGTTTGGAATGATGGATCATACATAAAGACATGGAATATTTAAAAACCTCATTATGCTGTGTCTATATATTTTAATTTAACTTATGGAGATGGATACACTGGATCGTTTAAATATAAGGTAGGTTCATCAAGTAATTCATATTCATCATTATTTTATAATCCTGGAGGTGAAACAAATTTAATTGGTCGTGCTAATCTTGAAAGCACTGTTTATTTTAATGTAAGTTTAACTAATTTCTATGATAACAGTTTATATGTTGAATTTTAATGTGATGTTGCAACTACAAATATTACTAAAGAATTTTGTGCAATATCAGAGTATTTCATTGTTGTTCATTATGTATTATTATTAATTTAATTTAGTGTCCTCCTTTTTGTTTTGGTTGCACAAGTTTAACAAATTGTAATGCGGGTTATTCTGCCCCTAATTGTGCAATTACCTAATATTTGGATTTTAATTCTACAAATGAAATCTATAGTTGTAATGATTGTATCTAACCAGGATGTCATACATGTAAAAGTTCAGAGGAATGCACTTAATGTAAAAATAATAAATTTTAACTATTAAATGGAATATGCTTGTGTGATCCATTTACATTTTTTTAAGGAGATGATTGCATTAAATGCAATAAATATTGTGAAAATTGTTATGGTAATTCATAATTTAATTGTCTTACTTGTGTAAGAGATTATAATAGAGGTATTCAAAGAGATTAATGTTTATGTTTACCTGGATATTATGATGATGAAATAAATTTGCCATGTCTTCCTATTTGTGGAGATTTATAAATAGTAGAAGGAGAGGATTGTGATGATGGGAATAACAATCCATTTGACGGTTGCCATAATTGTAAATTAGGTTGTAATTTTGCTTGTGATATTTGTTTAAATGGGAAATGTTATTAATGTAAAAGTGGATATGAAGTTTATAATAATGACTGTCGATCTATTTGTTTAGAAAATACAATTACATTACTCTAATAATGTTAAGATTAGAAAAATAATTGTGTTAACTGTTAATTTTAATGCTCTCTAAATTGTATAGACTGTCGATTTGGAAGTTGTGTTTAATGTGATGAAGATCAGGGATGGTACATTTAAATAGATGGTACATGTAATTCTATTTGTGGTGATGGAATTGTATCACATGATGAATAATGTGATAATGGTAATTACTTTTCTGATTAATAATGTGTGAATTGTTAATTATAATGTTAAGAAGGATGTACAGCATGCATTAATGGAGAATGTTATTAATGCATTTAAATTGGATGGTAATTGAATGTTCTTGATAGGAATTGTTAACCTATTTGTGGTGATTTATTAGTATTAGGCAATGAATAATGTGATGATGGAAACTACGAAGATGTTGATGGGTGTGATAACTGCAACTTTCAACTTTAAGAATAATGTAGTCTTTATGAAAATGGTTAATGTAGAGTTTGTAATGTTGAAGGATGGGAACTTACTATTAATAGATGCACTACAATTTGTGGAGATTAATTAATTTTAGGTACAGAAGAATGTGAAGATGGAAATCTCATTCCTTATGATGGATGTTTTGAATGCAAATTTTCATGTGAAGAATTATGTATTGTATGTGAAAAAGGAGTTTGCTAAGCTTGTCTTCAACCAGGATGGATTATTAATCAATATAATATTTGCATTACTTAATGTGGAGATGGCATAATTATTTATCCATATGAGTAGTGTGATGATGGAAATGATATTCCATACGATGGTTGCTATTTGTGTGAATTTTAATGTTCTTAAGGCTGTATTGAATGTTAATAAGAACAATGTAAGAAATGCGATTAATTATATCAAATGGATTATTAAACAGCCTAATGTGTAAACAAAAATTAATTAGATGATTAAAATAATGATTAATTAGTTGAGATATAGTTTATAAATTAAAATAATTTTAGATGTGGAGAAAATCAAATTTTAATTGATAATCTATGTAATAATTAATGTGGAAATGGTATAATCATAAATTAATATGAAGAATGTGATGATGGAAATAATTATGGAGGAGATGGATGTTCTAATTTATGTAATATTGAACATTCATATCAATGTTTAAATTAATAGAACTCCTTTAGTTTATGCACATTCATTCTAGCTCCTTAGTTTAATTTGAATATTCTATCCGAAAAAAAATAATAAATTTAAATTGTTGAGGTAACTTTCACTTAATAGGTGAAATTGAAAGAACTCTAAATTTAGAAGAAATTATGGTATTTAATATTATTCCATCAACTCGATTTCATTTAACCACAAACTTTATTTCAAATTTAACAATTACTTTAGAAAATCCTAAATATTTAATTTAAATTGAATTTATTGAACCTATATATAACCCGATTTTGCAAGTTGATATACAGAAAAATATTATATTTAATCAATATGAATTAAGTTTGTAAAATAATAATAAAACCCTTAATCTTGGCACTCCATTTGTTCTCTCAGAAACAACTAAATAATAATTAATATCCATCGTATAATTAAATGATGTCATGATGTATTCTATGGCAGGAGTATCTAGTATGGCTTTGGTAACAGGAAATGCAATTATGTTTTATTAGAGCTATTATAGTCATTATCTTACTTGAGATATATGAAAGGTTAATTCCCACCACATTTAAATTATTTTTTAAATACATACACTAAAATCTCTATGCAACCTATTTTTGATTATTTCTAGGTAGATCAATTATTGAATGAATTAAAGGGAGGAAATACTTCAAATCAAGTAACTAATAAATTACAAGAAGATCAGGACATAATTTTTGATTAACCATATTTGTTAAATGTCAAAAGTTGTTATTTTTCTATAATATCATCTCTATTAACTTACCTTATTTATTGTTAATTAACATCTGAAAGCTTAGAAAAATCTATTAAGTAACTCCAATCAAAATTTTAATAAAATTTAAAAATCTTGAAATTTATAACTATATTTTAAAGAAAGATATAGAAAAAGTGTCTAATAGAAAAATAGGAATATTTTTCTAATGGAATATTTAAGCTTTATTTTGCAATTCTCCATTAATTTATGTTTAGTGCAATTTTATAGTTTCCAAATTACTAATTTGACTCGCTATTCTCAATTTTTAACAGTATTAATGCTATTTTTGGATTATTGTTGATTTTGATATCTAATTTATAGCTGCTTTAAATTACTACGGCTAAAATAAAAAATATATGGAAGTGGAAATATTTTTATTATGAGACTAAAAAGGGATTTTGGGCAACTTAATTTAAGCCTTTTTAATTTTACAAAATCTTTTCTTATATTTTTATTATTGTAAAATTAAGAGACATTCCAGAAGCCTAATCAATTCTACTTTCAATTCAATCATTACTTTTCTTTATTTACATGATAAAGTTTAAGCCATTGAAATCTCTATTTGAACTTTCCAAGCTCATATGTAGAGAATTTTTATTAATGATCATTTCAGGAACATTCTTGGCTTATAGTTTTGAGTTAAGCTAAGATAATTTTATCCTGATAGGTTGGATTCATATTAGCCTTTTTTCTACTATTATGGCTTCTAATTTGTTTATAGATTTATTTTTATAACTCAAGAGAATATATGATAATTATTTATAAAACAAAATTAAGCAAAAAAATAAATAGGAGAGAGAATATCAATTCTAACATTTATAGGGATTTTAAATTAATAAAAATGATTTATGAATAATAAAAATGATTTATGAATAATCAATCAAAATTTTTATTAGTTTTTATTTACTCTTTCTTTTTTGTATTATTGATTATCAAAGACTTAATGAGCATTCTATTCTAAAATATAAAATAAAACTTTATATAAGAATAACTTATATAAAATGATTCTCATTTTTAAACAATCAATTACATATATATGGCAATTGTTTTGAGGATCATTAATAATAGACGATAATTTCTCAATTTAAATTAAAAATTTTTATAAAAATATATTAAGATTGCTTAATATTTAAGTAAAACTAATGGAGCTATTTTTAATACGTCTCCATTTACTTTACAAACAATTCAAAATCTCTTTTAACTCTTATTTGTTTAAGGGTACTTCTATTAACAATATTACCTAAGAAGATATTAATAATTTTTTCCTTATTCATTAAGAAAATTTTTTGATAATATAATATAAATTCGTATTATATGATAAAGGAAGTTTAAAATAGATGGAATCTATGTTCATAATTCGATATTGCAATCTTAATCATAATCATGATCAAATTATAATCAATCAATCCCAAATTGTTTCTTAAATATTTCCATTGCACATATCATCTCTACAAAATTTAAACGATTAGTCAGGAAAAAATTTTGGAATCATATTAAAATCTAATTAATTTAACATAAAAGTATATTCCTTCCAAAATAGCTAGAATTTTAAGTTTATCTATGGATGTAATTATGAGGTTTGAGAGTTTTTGTTTGGATTTGAAAAATTTTATCCAAAATCATCTATTAATTTGTTTTATTAAACACCATAAAAAAGATTTAATTATTTTATTAGCTATTCATCTAAAGAAATACTTTAATACCACTCATTTGATTTTGAACAAAAAATTATTTTTCTTATATTATTCTCAGTTGCAAATAAATCATCAGATTTACTAACTGTTATTAAATTAAAATAACCTTAATCATTAATTTTTGTATGCTAAATTAATCATCGATTTCGTAAACTTTTTGAAATTTTTTCTTTTGATTTTGTAATAATAACATTTCTTTTCCAGAAATTTTGCTACTCTTAGATTAACTCTGTCACAGAGATTTAAACTTCACTAATAAAATAAAAAATTTTAATAAATTATATATTTATGATTTTTAAAAGCGAAAGTTTGCTTATTAAACTAATTTCATCGATATTTAAAAGTCCATTTTATGATTTTTTCCCATAATACCTTTTAAGGGCAAAAGTTAATTGTTATGTAAACAGAAATTTAATGGTTGTCACCAAATATGAATAAAAAAAGCAAGATGACAATTTATAAAATAATTGAAAATTAGAAGACCATTTTCAGGTGTAATTTAATGTCAAGAAACTTTAATGAAAATTTTATAGATTTAATAAGAAACCACTCTATCCTTTTTTAATTAAAGCTATATCTCAGCCTTAAGTATTTGGTAAAAAAATCATAGTTAAATAAATTTTAATTAAATAAATTATAATTGGTGAACTTTTTCTGTGAAAATAAAGCTTTAATTGATTATAACTAATTAGCTATTTAGGATAGAATCATTTTTTCAAAAAAGATCAATAATCAACTTTCCTTCATAATTCAATTTTTATAGGGTCTGAAAGCCTTTTAGGTAAACCTTTAAAGTTTATTCTATGCTGCTCTATAATTCTGATCAAAATCTTATTTTACAGGTAGTTTTGATAACACAATTAATGTTTAGGTGAAAAAAGAATAAAAATTATATGATCATGTCTAGGGAATTAGGATTATAGAAAATTAAAGTAATTGTAATTACTTTTAAATATAACAATTAAAAGAGCTACAACAAATTAATCAAGATAAATATGGATTCAGATTATGTTATATTTCTAATATTTTATGAGTTTCTTTACCTTATAACAATGAGAATTTATTTATTTATGAATTTAATGATAATAATGGAAGATTTATACAAAAGAAATCTATTAGATAATATAAATACAAAAAAATTAATCCACGATTTTGTAGCTAAATAATCAACTTTGATTATTATTTTATTTTTGATTAAATAGGAACAATAATTATTTACAATTTTTTCGATATTGAACTTAGAAATGTTTTAAATCAGTATGATATAAAGCAAAGTTAACTTAAAGAACATACCTTTAACTTGTATCAAAAGAAATAAATCAACTTTAAGCACTTTTTTCATTTAAATCATTCATACTGGTAGCCATTCTATTATAATTCATTTCTTAAAAATAAAAAAATAATATTAAATAATACATGATAAGAAATGTAATTTTCTTTATAGATTAATTAATCTAACCTAAAAATAATCTATAAAGTTTATTTAAATTTTAATTAAATTACGTAATAATGTCCTCCTAAAATCTTATAATTATGCTTCAAAGTATAAATTATAAAATCAAATATAAAATTTATTAATCTATTGGAATATTTTAAGTCTATTAAAGAACTTTTAATAGCATTCGATTATGTAACTCTTAGTTCATCATAATTGACTTTGGTTGTAGATTATTTAGATGGAAACAAAGTAGAAAGTATGAATATTCTAATGAGGCTTGAACTTAATTAAAAATGGATAATAGATTGAATTAATAGAAAATTTTAGAATGTATATAGATGAAAAAAATGTAAAATATGATAAAATCTATTCCATTAATATCCATATACTTTAATTAAAGAAAGAACAATACAATATTTAATACAAAGTTATAATGAAAAGAGAGTATTTTTATGGTATCATTGAATTTAAATCTTTTGTGAATTGTAATATAATAAAAAAAGAAATTCAACTACAATTTAAATAATGTTGAGATAGTTATGAAATAGAATAAAACTAGAACTAAATCTATCAAAGTTGCAAGATGAAAATTATGTAAATATATTATAAATAAAAATATGAAAATTCTTCTATTCATAAATAATAAGTATAAAATTTTGAGAGAACTTAGATTAATTAATCAAGCAATGATATGAATTATGGGAAGTATGATGAAAATGTATGTTATTTTAGATGATGTATTATATACAAGCTTGCATTTTATATTTTTTACAAATTAATATTGATTTAATAGAATTCAATTATTTATTTTACAAATCTTCAGATATTATTTATAAGAAAGTATTAATTAAATTCTTGATTTTGAATATTAAAGAAGAAAATATGGACAATATTTAGACCTTTGGAATGCAAAATACAAAAATTATGATTGATGGTGTAGCCTACTTAAAATTATAAGAAATTGGTTAAGGATCAGAAGGTATTATTTATAAGGGAGAAAATATTTAAACAAAAGAAATTGTGGCTA